TAAATTCTGGGACAACTGATAAAAATTTGGCCGAAGTTAATTCAGCCGAATTCGATAAGCTTTTGATCTCGGGTACAATAACGATAAGCAATATTACAGCTGTTTTCATAAATTCTGGGACATCTAAAAGTTTTCTCGTTTCCCGAAATCTTTCAGTTTCATCCGGTAAATTACCTAACTCTCTGGAAACTACATCGCTATTTCGAACCTTCAGTCCGGAGACAGCAATGTAGTTTCCGGAGAGTTAGGTAATTCTCGGACGAAACCGAAAAGATTCCGGGAAACGAGAAAATTTTAGGTGTCCCAGAATTTATGAAAACAGCTGTAATAATATTGTAACATTAAAATCAGTGGTGCATTTGGAACATTTCGGAACAGGAGCTTACGTGTTTGATTTGGACTAAGTGCCTTATGTCCAACGAAAAAATATGAACAATATGGACATAGTCCAAAAATGTCCATGTCCATTGGTCCAAATTGTCCATATCCATATTTTGCAAACACTATCCAAAATATATCGAAATCAAAAGCTTATGTACCCGATATTATCGAATTCGGCTAAATTAATTTCGGCCAAATTTTTATCAGTCGCCCCAGAATTTATGAGAACAGCTGTAATTATTTTATTATACTGATCATACCGAAATCAATAAATTATCGAACTCGGCCGAAATTATCATTGGCAGGTTTATCATTGGCAGGTGTCCCAGGATTTATGAAAACAGCTGTAAACTTGTCAGTGTAACGTATTGTCGGTGCAACGTATTGTTGGTGAAACGTATTGTCGGTGAAATGTATCCGTCAGCGAAACGTATTGTCAGCGAAACGTATTGTCGGTGAAATAAACATGTCGGTGAAATGATTGTCAGTGAATCAATTGTCGGTAAAATAAGCTTATCGGTGAATTGATTGTCAGTGAACTGATTGTCGGTGAAATGAGCACCACCCAATATATATATATGTACGTACAAAAAAATGTATGATAATTCTTAGTTCTTTGTTTATTTCCAAATATGTAGGCTTCATTACACATGCCTATTTACATAAATCGGAACGTTATCCACAAAACTTACCTTTGCAGTGGCAAAATGTCTGAGAGTATTGAAATTATGAGTGAACATACAACTGAACATGAAAGTATTGAACATACAACTGAACATGAAAGTATTGAACATACAACTGAACATGAAAGTATTGAACATGTAACTGAACATGAAAGTACTGAACATACAACTGAACACGAAAGTGCTGAATATGCAACTAATCAAGAAATTTCCGCAATTGAGAAAAAAAACTTAATGTCAGAAATTATAAAAAAAATTGTTGAAGAGCTTGGGAACAATTTTTCGGATACAGAAAATAGGGAATCTATTATGATCGCTATTAATAATAAACTTGAAAAGCTTAATTCTCTTATTAAGTCTCTTATTGGAAAAGGGCATGATGAATCATTTGATGAAATAATAATCGAGAATCCAAATGATATTATGTCTCTTGATGCATCTACTGTGAATTTAAATAATATTATTATGACTTTTATTAGGTTTATTAAATCTTTTAAAAAACAGGGAATGTTATTTGATAAAAAAATTGAGACGTCAGATGAAATTATGCCTGAAGTTGTTAAGATATTTCTAGATCTAGATGTTCAATACCCAGTATTTTTAGAATTTGCATTTGAAATTGTTAAAAAGATCTTAAACAATTTCGACACCCAAACATATTATATGAATTTATGTCTGAGTTTGTAAAGGAATTCCCAAATCTTGCCTATAGCAATTCACGCCTATTGACTGAGTTCTTTGAAAAATGTCCTCATATTGAATTTTCACCGGAACTCGAAAGAGACTTGATGAACGAAGAAGAAAATTAGAAAATGAATTTAAAAAGAAATTGTATGAAAAATTATTAATGGAGTTTGAAGAAAATATAATTGTAAAAAGATCAATGAATTTTGAAATATATAAAAAAAAAAGATTGAAGAATTTTCGAAAAGATAAAAATGAATGTAGAATTATTTTAGATTTAACATCTAAGTTAAATCTTAGAAGAGATAAACAAACAATGAGATGCTTCTTACCATTACCTGGTCTATTTGTAAGGCAAAAAAATATACAAACCTAATCCATTTGAAGCATTGGCTAATATTCATTCAGCTGAGATTTGTCATTCACCGGTTTTTGAGATGGTTTTTATTCACAAAGAATCTGCTCTCAGAGTTTATTTGGCTTGTATTATTTTCTATATTATCTATTTTAGTCTCTTTGTTTCAGCAATTCATACTGCAAACGACACTGCCAGAATTAACTTTATGTATTTGAGCTTTATATTTGGAATATTCACAATTATTTTTTTATTTTTTCGCCATATTATTATATTTGCTCTATATTTATACCTTCATAAAATAACATTTAACCAATTTGTTTATAAATCATGGATTTTGCTTGTCACATCTGCAGCAACAGTTCTTCCTTTTATTGTTTTGGTTTTAGAATTGTTTATGGTTGCACCTGTATCTTCAGAACTCAGATCACTTTCTATCTTGTTCATGTGGTTTTTTTTTCATCTTACAACTTCGTTACATCAAAAAAATTGGAATTTTCATTGCAGGTAAAGATTTTGAAATTATATTTTAACTAAATGAAAGATGAAATTACTAAAATTTTTTTTGTTTTTATTTTTTTTTTATGTGAAGTCTTTACTATCATCATTTTTGAGATAAAATGGATTCTTGTATTTTTAGTTTTCATGTTATTTACATTCACGCATGCATTTTTTGTTCTTTTATCAGAAACTCCCACAGATAATAATGTCCAAAATACATTTACAACCTTTGACCAATCACTTAAAAATGTTTGGTCAATGTTTTTGGGAGATTATGGCTCTTTGAATCCATGGTCAAATAATCGGCTGCTAGATATTTATAAAATGATCTTCTCATTCAGTACAATTACCGTAATCTTGAATATTCTAAGTATGTCATTAATTATAATATTATTTTAGTTTTAATAGTCTTTTAACATATTTTTATGACAGTCGCATTTATGAGTAACACTTATGAAAAAACAAGCAAGCATGCAAAATCTGTTTGGATCTCATTCATGGCTGATATTACTGCAGAACTTGAACTTGCTGAATATATTCATGAATATATTTTTGCTTTTGTTAATCATATTACGATGGTAAACCCTTATTATCTTTTTTCTCTTGTTAAGAATCTTCTAAAGTATTGTCTTATTTTATTTTATTTTTTTTAATGTTAAAATTATCATAATATCGTAAGAATAGTATTTAACTTTTGAAATTTTATTTATTTTATTTAGAATTTACCGCCTTTTATTTAGAATTTACCTTAATAATGGCCTATTTGACCCATTCGACCAATTCTGCCATTCATTACATTTTTCACATTTTTCATATATTGTTTATGAGGCTCCTATTAGTGATATCATAGAGAAACGGTAATCTCTTACATTTTAATTAAGGTATCTATTTCCAGAATTTATTTGTATATCAAATTGTGTATAAAATTTATAATCTAAAGATCATTTTCTAATTCTTCGTGATTAAAGGCATGCTATTTTGTTATGGATCACCAGTGAATTGATCTATTTTATTTTATTTTACTTATTACAAAAAATTCAATCTATACACTTTTATTATGGATATATTTTTTGTATCAACAATCGTAATATTCAAAGTAGAATATACTTAGTAAAAGTTTTACAATTTTTATGAATCATTTTGTCCTGTTACAATGTGGTATATTTAAGATAAACTGTAAGCCAAATACTTTATGAAAAAATAAACTTAAAAATATATAATTAAGAATACATACGATTCTTATTTACGTAAGCAATAAACAATTAAAAATTTTCTTTATTGAAACTTTTTATCTTTTATCAAGTCATCAATCAAATTATTGGGTGAAACAGCTTCGTTGGTATGTATTGTAACTTTACTTTTTTTGCCGTAACTATAGGTGTATGCCTTAAGTAATAATTACTGCTATGGACTAACTTCAGTTACAAACCCATGATCAAAAGTTGTAATTGCCACACTGCTATAAATTCTGTAATAAATTCTGTAATAAATTCTGTAATAAATTCTGTAATAAATTCTGTAATAAATTCTGTAATAGTTCAAACTGCCATAATACGTGTAGTCCATATGTTAACCAGTTTTAAAAATTGATTATAGAAAAAATATATATATTTTTTATTCGTAAGCAATCATTGATGAGCATAAATTTCTCCACCAAAATCTTTTAATATTAGAGTATCAAATGAAATCTATTCATGGTTATAAGTTCTAATTTGAGATCCTTTTATATTATTGTCATTCTGTATTTCCACTTATTCATATTTAAATTTTATGTCTAGATCAATACTTGACAGCATATTTTATTTGTGTAATCTTCGTTATAATGCGTCAGAAGTCTTCAAGTTAAATTAGATTTATGTTAATTATTTTCATTTTATTTATGCGTCACTTAAATATAATTTTCATGCTCACCAAATAATTAACACAAAAAAAATCATGAAGAGTTATTTTAAATAATTAAATTAACCAATATTCTCTATATTCATGTGTCATGTGATAATTAACGAGAATATTCATGAATCAAATAGCTTATTTACTTATAAAAATAAATTTCGTTCAGACGATTAAAAGCATTAACAGGTACACCTTACAAGAACACCAGCAGACTTTTTTGAATTTTATCAGAATGCGTTTATTATCTTTAATCAGTACTTGCTTAATAATATCGAATTTAAATGATCGTACGGCCCAGCTGCTTGCAATAATATCTAATAGACTTACATATAATATGATAGAATCTTCTAATTGGTCGATAACGTGGTGGATATTAGCGTTTTAATACTGTAATTATATAACTTAGTAATTATATTTATAACAAGAACCGAGTGAACTTAAATTTTCACAAAGAGTATGTTTATACAGCAAATTAAGTGATGTATGTTCGCAAAATCTTGTATTTTATTGGATGTTATCGGCAAAGCAAGGATATGAATGCCTTCATACGCTATACCTTCGTCTATATACAGTCTAGATCATATTAAAAATATTATTATATTTAATTACATTTACAAAATAAGTGTATATTCCGCAAATAAAATATGGGCAACCCTCATTTTTCTCATGACTTTCCATATATGATTACTTATAATGATTTGAACCGGGTAAAAAATTCCTAATCGGTTAACCGAGTTGACTCACCCGGATACAATCGGGTTAACCGTATTGCTTCGGTTAGATCGGTTGACCCGGTTGACCCGGGTCAGGTTGACGAGGTTAATATATGATGAATGTACTGAATAAAGCTTATTATATAATAATATATGTT